TCTCTCTCTCTCTCTCTCTCTCTCTCTCTCGCCTTCCCTTCAATTATTTATTTATTGACTCCAATTGTTCTCACTTTAATTGTTGATAACTTAATACAAACAATATAAACACCATGTACTGTACTGTACTGTATATCCGATACAAAACATGCAGAACGTATGAGTCATTCATTATAAATAGGATTTTAATTTAGTTAAAAAATTATGTTCAAAATGCTGTTTAAACCTTTTTTGATAACCATTAAGTGATTATCTAAGAATTATAATTATAAAACTAATTAATAACTATTATGCAATATAATTGGTATATAATAATAGGTTATCAACAAAAATTTTTAATTAAATTGAGATCTTTTCGTAAGAATCACTTTAAGTAAAAGTCAAGGAAATTGCTTATTATTAAAAATTAATTATTCTATGACTAAAATATGATTTTATTTATCAATGTAAAAACAGCCAACATTGAAATGAAGAGTACAACTAAATAAATGAGCTTGGTAATCTTATTTCTCTATCTTTGGGTAATTTATGCCTTTATATAATTGTTTGCTGAACAGAATGGGAACACAACTAACACTGCAATAAACTTTCCAATAGTATTAAGTTTTGTTATAAACGCTCTAAATCTCTATTATAAACAATTTAATTTTTGGATATAATGTTATCGTTTTCGTGCATTTATTACAAACCTTGTTAATAAAGCGTTGTATTTGTAAATTGCATACAAACCTCAAAAACAACTTCAATTTTGCAATTTTTTGTTTACTGTTAGTATACATCCGATTGTCTGACCATTTATTTAATTTTAATTTTAAATTTAATTAATTGAATTTCTTTGATTTTTGTTTTTCAATTAATTTATAAAACAATTAAAAACACATTTAATGGTATTTTACAATCAATTCTTTATTAATTATTCAAAAAATGTGTGAAATTAAATATAAACGTAAATTAACTTAAAATTAGTAATTATTTTCATGTAATATTCGTGAAATTGAATATTCATTTTATATAATAAAGACATTAGAAAGAAAACACAATTTTAATTATAAAACTTATTACAAGTTTTAAACATTCATCCGACACATTTTATTTTTTTAATTCAATAATAAATTCAATTAATTATATGTCAAAAACAAATGAATAACATTTTAATGTGAAAAACCTTTTGAACGATAAGTTAATATAATTTGAGAGCAGACATGAAGTCTAATCGTTATATTGTTGTAAAATTATTATATTTGATGATATATTTAACAATATTTCTTTAATTGTGAATTCAATGAAAATGCATTTCAAGTAATTATAATAATAATTAATTAAATAAAAATAAATAACAAAAATTCAAATAATATAATTTTCTAAATTTATCATGTAGATTATAAATCCAAGTGTTTTATAAATAATAGTTTAAAAAACTTTTAATTAGCTTTACTTTCGAGAATAACTCATATTATATGTAATATAATTATAAAAAACAATCGCTTTTAATAGTTTTAATATAATTAACAAAAAGATTAATTAATTTAAATTAATTAATACAAAAAACTATTTGTTTTCAGACAATAACAAAATCAAAAGAGTGATTGATTTGGTGTGTAATAGGATTGAAATGACAATTATATTTACATTCTAGAAATAATATTTATATTGTATTTTTTGTCAATTAACTAATTATTACACCATTTAATGATTACTTTCAATGTGTTTAATATTTTTTTTGACTTATTTAAAGTGATTTTTACTCTTTTGCGTTAAAATTTATTATTAATTAATAGTAACTCAGAAAATAGATATGAAATATATTTTTTCCTTTTGTTTTATCAGTAAATATGATGAGATTTACAATAAATATTATTATTATTATTATAATTATTGATATATAAATTAAATATCAATCAATTATTTATTTGTAGACACATTAAGGTATGATTTAGAAAAACGAAAACTTCAAATCGTCCTTTCCTTCAGTAATAGTAAAACAATTATTTTTTTTTGTTTGGTATTTAATTTTATCAACTTTTTTGCGCAATTAATTTCTCACAAAAATGAATTGTAATAATAAATATATATATTTTTAATGTATTATTTATCCTAAAAAACGTCTTTTTCTTCTCTCTAAGAAATTGTTTGTTTTAATGAGAATATGAATGAATGAAATCTGTTTATAAAATGAGCAAACATTCAATACATTCTTCTATAAACCAAATGGTTTTGTTTTGATTCATCGAAACAATGATTTTTCAAAAAATTCAATTAAATAATTTACACCTAAGTTATACATTATTTATCAAATGATTTTCTCTCTCAATACGCTATGAAATACTATAAGTAAGTTATCGAAGCCTTAAATGGTGTGAATTTATAGTGTTTTTATATTTGATTTCATCATTTCTTAATTCTTATAATTATTATAACTTTTTTGTTTTAATTTTCTTAAAAAAATTCAATTGGTTTTTGTTATTAAGTATGAAATATACAATGAAATGAAATTTGAATCTCTTATTAATATGAAAGGCATGGATGAAGGGTAACGTCCGGTGCCAGTGGTTGTTACCGATGCGATGATTTTTATTTATAATATAAAACAAGTTAATCACAACATTTCCTCGAAATTAGCCATCACTTCGCTCTGACGGTTCAAATCGATTTGTTGGGCTCTCTGTTTGTGTAAGATATAAATGCATATAATTTAATGATTGCTATTAAACGCTGCAAAATATATCGATAAATAGCACTGCAAGCAAACACTGACCGCTTCTCTCATCCTCCGCTCCTTCTCTCGCTGTCTGAGGCGTTCGCGTTCGGTCTGAGAGATGCCCTGACCGGGAGAGCCCGACCCGGAAGCGGGCGACGAGTTGGACGACTGGTTTCGGTTCATTTCGTCGATCTGTTGGAGTTGTGCTTTGCGGGCCTTCTCGAGGGCCTCGTCCTCTTCCTTCTCGCGCAGGCGTTCCTTCTCCTGTCGCAGTCGTTCCCTTTCCTCTCTCTCCTGAGTCTTGCGGCGGACCTCCTGTTGTATTTTCAACTGATTCTGTTTGTCCTGTTTCTCTTTGGCCTGTTTTCTGAACATTTCAAAACTATTCTCAGCGGACGGGGGTTTGACAGAAGAGCCACCGGCTCCAGAAGTGGGCTTCGCCAGAGCACCCCATCCACCCATACCTAAGTTCTTCCCTTTAGACTCAGACGCCTAACACAACAAAATGATATTCAAAACGTTATAAACATATTTTAGGAAATAATATTCAATTATTCATTACATTAGGCTTTTTGTTAGACGACATCACAGAAGGGCTTGACTGAGACATAGAGGGGGTCGACGACAATGACTTCGATGACTCTTTCTTCTCGCCATTGGCCGGCGATACGGAACTGTACGACTCGAATGGTCCAGAATTTACTATCGATTTAATATAAAGCGGTAAAACATTTGTCGCAAAAGCAATTTTAATGTTAAATTCAAACCTGAATTAAAATCTGAATTGTGTTTGGAATTTGACTGTAAATTATTGGCGGAATAATTAGATTCGTCTTTAAGTTTGTGTTGATTGGTGTGGAGTTGTGTCGGCGCTAATAAACGTTGTGATAAGAATGCAAACATATTTCGTTAATCCCAATGCATAACGAGTTGATTAATTTATGATATTTTTTAACACTTTGATTACAATAAAAGTGCTTTAAATTAGTTTTGTGTCAATACCTGTCGATAGAGATGGAGGCGTAAAATGGGATGCATTGACTTTAGGGGAGTCTCGGATAGTATTTGACAATTGGTTTGAATCTGAGTTTGAATTCAATGGCACCGGAGCTGTGAAAATGTCAATACAAATATTGTAAGAATTTCATTGAATCGTTTTGTATTGATTAACTTTTGAAGTGTATTTATAAGTTAAGATCAAACTAACGATTCTTATGCGTTGTTTGCGACGGTTGTGGTGCGAGCGGAGGGCCCGGAGCCGAGAGTATGTTTTTTCTAGTGGGCGCTGCGGTTGCCGTCGCAGTTGGCCTTTGGGGCTGTTGAGGAAGGCTTGTATGGGAGGCCACGACTGGGGGTTTTGCTGCACACGTCGGGGTCGACGATAACAAGTGTTTAGAAGTGCTTTGTTTTGCTAAATGCTATTTAGGTATTACCTATAATAGAGGCGCCGCCGCCGGCGACCCCCGGTGTCGGCGGCAACGGGTGATTGAAAGACGGGTTACCAAACATTGACGACTGGTTTTGTGGCACTTGTGGTCCGAGATTAGCGTTCATTAATTGCTGATTATAGGACTGAGTAATGGGAAGAGTCCCGGGAAATGTAGGCGTGTGTTGGGAATGGGGTGCAGCGAACTGACCCATCGATTTGTTTGTGTTGGCCTTCTTTTTGGGCGATTCTGTTATAGTAGTTATCGTACATATAGTTTATAATCAATATTACGGAACAACAAATACTCGTATATTTATTAGGTATGAAATGAATGAACTAAAAATAATAATAGACTTCTAATCCATAAATATAATGATTAATCAAAACGAAAAACTAATCAAAATATATATTCTTATCGAATCAAAAAACCTCTGAGGAGTTTGTGTCCGAAGAGTGCAGTATTTTCTGAGAGATAATGAAAAACAAATGAAACAAATTTACGAAAAAACTTTAATTTTTAAAAATTTATTTTTCTATAAATTCGGTCAACACTTAAATACTTTCTGAAAAAGTTAAGTATTTGTTTGATTTTGTGGATAAAATCCATTTTCATAGCAAATTGCTTATTGTTTAGTTAAAAATACAATAAAGTTTTGGGCACACAATTAGTTAAATTTTAAAAAATGTGTTTTTAATGACAAATCAATTAGTTTTTCAATGGTTTGATTTTCGGCCGTCAAAAGAGAGGCCAAAAATATAATGAATAAAAACAACGATTACTTGCATTACACGTCAAATAAGTTATAATAGATTTTTAAAATATATTTATATATAATATATATAAGAAAATTTGCATTTAATGAACTAATATTTACAAATGAGTCAATTTGTGATGAGATTTAATTAATGACAATTTATCAGGCGTTAGGCGCCCGCCCTATAACATCCACAAAGGGAGGGCCCGCCCGCGCCCCTCATTCACTGCCCCAATAATTAACATGATTTTCTGCATTTTTACATTTTTTGTTTTTCTTGTTATAAAGAAAATTCATTATAAAATAAATATATAAATTAAAAAGTGAAAATGAAATTTATTTTTATATACCATTAAATCAATTTATATATGAAATTAAAAATTTATTAATAACTATTGGAGACAAGGGTTGACTAAATTAATGGAAATGAAGAAAAGTTTACAATTTAGCCCAAGAGTGCTTATGTCCTAAGAGGCCGTCCACTAACGCTATGTATAATTCAATTCTCGGCTCAAGACTTATACAGTACTTGACGAATGAAAATCATTCACATGTCATATCTCATATGGCGTTTGAGTCGCGCCTTTCGGTTTGAAATGATTGCATGCACTCACTCTCCCTCTCAAAACATATGGCAAATAACTTACAATTTAAATAAATGACAATTTGTGAGAAAACCTATCAGTTTTTAAACGTCAAAAACAGTATTTAATGATATGAACGAAACGTTTTGGAATGAATTGACTCTTAGTCTGAATTGAATTAAAATGAGAACAAATATAATAGCAATCAATGGTCGTAATGGTTGTGATATTCAATTAATTATATGCTATTCATCTGAAAAATTTGAGTTACTTTTTTGGGCAGTAATTGAATGCATATAATGTATTAAATCAAATATATTTACAGATTTAGGCATTGATGCCAATTATTAGTCTAATTATGAGTGAAATATACAAACGAGACAAACGGTTTGTAACACAAGTCTCGGACAAAATCAAGTAATAATAATAATTAATAACTAACTGTCGACCCCTCAGAACACACTGCACTCTCGAACTCGACATATGTTTGTTTTATATTAACAATTAATTCAGAATAATGTTTGTGTCATTGGTTTTTGTCTCTCAATCAGAGACTGCTTACAAAAAGGCGATTTTGTGTTGAGAAATATTTTCAATGACTGATTAATGGCTTATTATTTACATTATTTAAGTAATCAATTTTTTCAAACCTAACATTCAGTGTATTTGTGTAATGAAAAAGGCTTTTGCAGTGACTGTCAGACAGTCTTTGAAATGTAAATGAATATGAAATTAAGTTTTGTAAATGAATTGTAATGTAAATGTATTGTGAGGTAGAAAACAAAACTAAAGAGAGACTATTTGGTTAAAGACAACAAATGATAGTATTTTTGCCTACAAATGTGTTTTTCAAATGTTAATGACATATGTATTAAGAATTTGTATTTTTAATGTCCATTAATTTGAAGCAATCATTGAGTTAATGGTCAGAAATGTTGTGACGCTTTTGGTAATCAAATGAGTTTGTGATTGAGTGATGATAAGGGATGGTCTCATTGCGAGTATTCCTAACCTGATTCAGAGTCGCTGCTATCAGAAGAACTACTGGAACTCGAACTACTGCTACTGTCGCTGTCACTCGAGCTCGAACTCGACGCCGA